CCGCCTCCCCCCCCCGGGGCCACCGGGTCCTCGACGCCTTCATCCCCTCTGGATGACGCCCGGTGGCCCCGCGTGTCCCTTCCCCGGCTCCCGGTGCTGTGATCCCCGTGGGGGCGGCTGGGAGCGGAGCTTCTCGCTCAGCCGGATAAGTGAGACCCGGGGGCCAGGTGCCACCCAGCTTGGGACGTGCCACCAAATTCCACCCCCAGGATGGGTTTTTATCCCGGGATTTCGGAGAATGAGGAGTGCACAGGCGTGAGGCCACAGGGACGGTCTCACCCCTGGCCACTGCGTGGAGCCAGGGAAGAGCAGGAGGAGGAGACAGCAGGAGCGCGGCCGCTATCCCGGAGAAACGCTTCCCTCTTGCGGAGGGACGGACGGCAGTGGCCTCAGGGCGGAGGCCGGGAGGCTCCGGCGCTGCCGGCGATTGCAGCCCCGGCGCTGGGAATTGCCCCCGTTGGCCCGGCGCTCCCATCCCCCGCCCCACGGCCCCGGGCCAGCCGCCCCCTTCCTGGGCGCGCCGCGCTCGGCGCCCACTCGCACCCTGTGCCCTCTTGCTCAACTTGGCCCTGCTCCCAGAGGAGGTTCCGAGGTCAGGGCAAGCCCAGGAGGCACCGGGCTCCGCGATCAGCACGAGCGCTGCCAGCAGGTTCCCTGCTCACGTGCAGGGCTGGCTCCCAGCCTGGCTTGATCCTGCTGCGACACTCCTGCCACCAATGCATTTATCCCAGTGCAAAACGGGGAGGATATGGAGCAAAGTCTGCACCCACCGGCTGCACCGTGCATGCACCCAGAGCCTGGATGTGGCTCCCGCTCGGCCCGGCCCGGCAGCACCGCGGGAGGCCCCGGGACGCGTCGTTCCTGCTCCTTGAGGCAGATCCTGAGTGGCAGCCGACGCCGGTGCAGAGCGGCCCCGTTTTTTTTTGCCTTGGGTGCGGAGCCGTCCGGACCAGCCGGGATCGGGAGCTTCCCGGGAAGAGCCCCGCTGCGGTGGGAAGGGGGATGCTCGGACCCCGGGATGCTCAGGCACAGAGCCGGGGTGGGTTTCGCTTACAGCCGCGGATGGAGTCGGAAGCAGCGTTTAATATTGGCGCAGCAGAAATGTTCACAGCTTGCGGGCGCCGCGGTGCAGGCCGTCCCTGGCGGCCCCGGCACCTTCCCGGCGCAGCAGAGTCCATCCGGGTTGCGCGCGGTGCCGGCTGCGCCGCCGGCTCCTCCGCGGCGCCCGCCGGAGCTCCCCGTCCTATCCCCGCCTCCGCGGAGCCCTCACTG